TAAGGAGAGGCTGAAAGGGGTCCAGAAACCTGCTTCCGCCCAAGAGATTAGCTCCAGCCACACCTCAGTATCAAGGCCTCCCCATCCCTGCCCAGGGAGGATGGGACAAGGATTCTGCCACAGAGGCCCAAGTCCACCGTTTCATCTAATACGTATTAATGATCTCAATAGTGGGCAGGGTCTTGAAAAGGAGATAAAGGAGTCCCAGCCTCCTCCCGCTCCCTAGGGAATGAAGTGACTGGTGAGATAAGAGGGCTGGGCAGGCAAGGGGTGACCCTGACCAAACAAGGTCACAGACGGTGTCCCCAGATGGCTGTGCTGAGACTAAGACCCACCTGCTCCAACCTCATGAGGCAAAGGCCCAAAGCTTCAGTTTACCTGTCTGCAAAATGAGCTTTCTTGCGGGCGGACAGCGGGGAGCTGGATGAGTTAACAGGAAAAGCTGACGCTGTCAAAAAGAATCATGGGCCAGGCGAGGTGGCTCGTGCTTGTAATCCCAGCACTTTGGAGGCCGAGGCAGGAGGATCACGAAGTCAGGAGTTCAAGACCAGCCTGACTAACATTGCAAAACCCCATCTTTACTAAAAATACAAAAATTAGCTGGGTGTGCTGGTAATCCCAGCTACTCAGGAGACTGAGGCAGATGCTTGAACCCAGGAGGTGGAGATTGCAGTGAGCTGAGATCACACCATGGCACTCCAGCCTGGGAGACAGAGCGAGACTCCATCTCAAAAAAAAGAAAGGTGAAATGAATGTATTTAATACAACATATGCAACATGTCATTCCAGTACGGAATCAATATAAAAAATGATAGCCGGGCGTGGTGGCTCACGCCTGTAATCCAAGCACTTTGGAGGCCAAGGCGGGCGGATCACCTGAGGTCAGGAGTTCAAGACCAGCCTGACCAACATGGTGAAACCCCATCTTAAATTTTAAAAATATATAGAAAAATTTTAAAAAATGATGATTTTTTAGTTTTACATTATTGTATGTGTGTCTTTTTTTGAGACAAGGTCTCGCTCTGCCGCCCAGGCTGGCGTGCAGTGGTGTGAGCACAGCTCACTGCAGCCTCAACCTCCTGGGCTCAAGCAATCCTCCTACCTCAGCCTGCCAAACAGCTGGGACCACAGGCATGCAACGCCACTCCTGGCTAATTTTTAAATTTTTTGTAGAGACAACTTGCCATGTTGCCTAAGCTGGTCTCAAACTCCTGAACTGAAGCCACCCTCCCACCTCAGCCTCCCAAAGTGCTGGGATTACAGTGTGAGCCACTGTGCCTAGCTCCCCTTATTGAACCTCTACTCCAATGTCGCTCTGACGGTGTCGCCTTGCTGCCCTGCACAAACCAGTGCCCAACCACCTCCATCCCTCCCCTGCTTTTTCTCCACAGTGTTGTCACCACCTGTTCTAATTCTGCTCATGTTTGTATTTGTCTATTTACTGTCTCCCCAATCAATAGGTCAGACGTCAATCTACGTCTATCTTATTCATGGCTGTAACCCCACCGCACGTAGCGCAGTCCCTGGCACATAGTAGGTGGTCCATAAACATTTGTCAAATGGTGGAGGAACAGCAGCGTGCTCTGACGCAGGCCCAGCACTGAGTGCTCCATGCGCCTATTTTGTTTTTTTGTTTTTTGTTTTGAGACTGAGTCTTGCTCTGTCGCCCAGGCTGGAGTACAGTGGTGCGATCTCAGTTCACTACAACCTCTGGTTCCTGGGTTCAAGCGATTCTCCTGCCTCAGCCTCCTGAGAAGCTGGGATTACAGGTGCCTGCCACTGCGTCCAGCTAATTTTTGTATTTTCAGTACAGACAGGGTTTAACCATTTGGCCAGGCTGGTCTTGAACTCCTGACCTCATGATCCACCCGCCTCGGCCTCCCAAAGTACTGGGATTACAGGCTTGAGCCACCGCGCCCAGCCCCATGTACCTATTTTGATCCTCAGAAGAGTCCCAGGGAAGCCAATGACATGACCACCCACACCCACTGCACAAACAGGCAAAAGCCCCTGCCCACGAGGGCCCCGTCTGCTTTCTGCCCAGCCCCGGACCTGCCAAACAGCAGGTGCTAAAGAGCCTGCAGCTCTTGACTGAACCAAGGATCTGGGCTCATAGCCGGGAGCACCAGAGGAGGGGCCAGGGAGGTGGAGGATGGGAGCAGGCTGGGAAGGGTGGGGGTGACACCGCGGGGCCTCTAGAACCCAGCCTGGTCACACTCTGCAGGCAGATAGCGGCTCACCAGGAACCTGAGCCTCTCTGAAGACTCCTCTCTGTGTCATCCACACCTGGTGTCCAGTTCCACAAACATGCTCTGAGCCCCTGCTCTGTGCCAGGCACTGTGCTGGGCAGTGCTGGGGACACAGTGGTGACAGCCCAGCCCTGCCCAGCTGAGGCTCCCAGGTCAGTGGAGGAAAAAGACCCAGCCCCAGACAGCAAGAACCCAGGGCGGTCAGGGCTAGGACAGGGAATCCAGGGGGTACATGACCCAGCCTTGGAGTCCAGGAGGGCTTCCTGAAGGAGGGGGTTTGGGGAAGGCAGTGGAATAGAGCAGAGGAAAGCAGGGATATTCTGGGTAGACAGCAAGTGAGACAGAAGAACTGAAGCAGAGGGTTCTCGGAAGCAAGGGGTGTTCTGTATAGCTGGTCAGGTGGGCAGGGGTCAGGCTGGGCAGGGCCTCCTGGGCCACAGCGAGGCACCTGGGCTTCCTCCCAAGGGCACTGGGGAGCCACAGCAGGTTCTGTGCAGGGAGGGGCAGGGTCAGGTTTCTGTTTTAGAAATAGCCTCTGTCTGCCATGTGGAGGGGCAATGGGAAGGGGTGAAACCAGGGCCAGAGACTAGAGAGGAGGTTGGTGGGGAGACAGGAGACCCAGGCAAGGCGGGGTGGTGGGTGGTCACCTACACCAGGGTGGGGGCTGCAGGCAGGGAGAGAAGATATACTTGGAGTCAGTTGCCAGAAGGAGTAGCGTCCTCGGGAAGTAGGGGAAGCATCAGGGATGAAGCCCCTGGTCTCTCTTCCCAGTGATGAGGTGGGCAGTGGCGCCTTCCCTAATAAAGGGACCAGGAGAAGAAACACTTCTGGGGGAACACACCAAGGTCAGTTTGGGACAAGGTGAGTGAGAGGTGCCCAGGGACATGGGGGAGGCATCCTGACTGATACTGGGACGAGGTCCCAGGGCTCCGGGCCAGGAAGGAGAAGGGGGAGGTGAGGTCGCAGGTGGGGATAGGGAGCAGGAGGCGCCAGGACATCCTCCGAGCCTCTCACCTGGCCTCACCCTCGCCTCCTCTGGGCCTCCCCCAACCCCCGCTTGTCAGAGCCCTGCCCAGCGAGGTCAGCCCAGGACACGGTGCTGGAGGAACAAACGAGGACAGGTGAGCACAGGTGTGGCCCCCTGCCCGGAAGCAGGCTGCTGAGGCCTCAGAGGAACCACGACCCAGAAGCCATCAGGATGTGGGTGGTAAGAACACAGCTACCAGCAACTCTGGCCCTGAAACCCCTCAGTTCCCGCCCAGCAGCGTCTCAGAGACACCTTCCCTGGTACCCTCCCTGCACCCCAATTTAAAGTGGCAAACCAGGCCAGGGACAGTGGCTCACACCTGTAATCCCAGCACTTTGGGAGGCCAAGGTGGGAAGATCACTTGAGGCCAAGAGTTTGAGACCAGCCAGGGCAACATAGCGAGACCCCATCTGTACAAAAAATAAAATGGCATATCCTTTCTGACTTATTTTTCAGTCTGACATGTAAGATATTTACCTTCCCTTGGTTTACTCCGCAAATGTCGGCCTCCCAAGGGCAGGGGTTTCATCTGTCTTGTGTACTAATGCATCCTCAGCGCCTAGAACAGTGCCTGGCAAACAACAGGAGCACATTCAATATTCGTCCAATAAATGAATGAGTGATTTACCGAGCATTTGCTCTGCGCCAGTCATTGCGGTAAGCGCTGTACTTCACACGTGTGTCTCCTTAATCCTTACAACAGCCCTGTAATATGAGGACCATGTTTTTCCCATTTTACAAATAAGGAAACTCAGGCCTGGCCAATTCCACAAATTGCCCACGGTCCTGGAGGTAGAAAACAGTGGAACTATGTCCAGAGCCTATGCTTGCTCCTATGAGACAGAGTCTCGTTCTTCTTGCCCAAGCTGGAGTGCAGTGGTGCAAGCTTGGCTCACTGCAACCTCCGTCTCCCAGGTTCAAGCAATTCTCCTGCCTCAGCCTCCTGAGTAGCTGGGATTATAGGCACTACAGCTGCTTGCCACCACACACGGCTAATTTTTTGTATTTTTAGTAGAAGTGGGGTTTCACCATGTTAGCCAGGCCGGTCTCGAACTCCTGACCTCAAATGATCCACCCGCCTCGGCCTCCCAAAGCGCTGGGATTGCAGGCGAGAGCCACTGCACCCGGCCCAGAACCTGTACTTTTTATAGCAGCCGCACCAATCAGACCTCATGTTCAGGGTCACATCCGCCAGGCCCTGGCTTCAATTCCTGACTTGTGGCATCTCACTAACTGCTGTCAGCAGCCCTGAAGTAGGGTCCATATCATCTCTATTTTTTTGTTTGTTTGTTTTTGAGACAAGAGTCTCCCTCTGTCGCCCAGGCTGGGGTGCCGTGGCATGGTCTCTGGTCACTACAACCTCCATCTCCTGAATTCAAGAGATTCTCCTGCCACAGCCTCCCTAGTAGCTGGGATTACAGGTGTGGGTCACCATGACCGGCAAATTTTTGTATTTTTAATAGAGACGGGCTTTCTCCATGTTGGTCAGGCTGGTTGCGAACTCATCACCTCAGGTTATCTGCCCGTCTTGGCCTCCCAAAGTGCTGAGACTGAAGGTGCCCGCCACCATGCCTGACTAACTTTTTAAATTTTATTTTTAGTGGAGACGGGGTTTGACATGTTGGCCAGGCTGGTCTTGAACTCCTGACCTCAAATGATCTGCCTGCCTCAGCCTCCCAAAGTGCTGGGATGACAGGTGTGAGCACCACACCCGGCCACCATCTCTATTTTTCAGAATCATAAATGAGGACTGAATAAGGGGGTCTCCCCAGCCCCACTTTGGGTAAGTGCAGAGCCAGTGTCAAAACTCAGCTTTCTTTGGCCCCAAAGCCTCCAAATACACCCATTTGACAGATGGGGGAAAACAAGGCCTGCGGAGAGGGAGAAAGAGAATGTGAATTTCCGACCACTTTGCAGGAAGCCAACAAGAAGCAGAGCCCTGAAGAAAGCATGTGGCTGTACAGCTTCCTGCCCTTCTATCTGGGTTTGCACACAGAGCAGGGCTCAAATCCCCTCTCTCTGCAGGAACCTGGACAAGCAGGAGTCCCCACCTGGGGCGTCAGTTTCTCCATCTGCAAAGGGGAGTCCTAAAGATGCCCACTTTCCAGGGTTGTTTATTTTGCCATCCATGGAAATAACACCTGTAGGTCCCCTGCACGGGGTGGGGCCAGGAAAGGTGCAGTCACTTTTTACTGATTTTATTCCTTGGAGACTCCTAAGCTCTCCCAGGAGGCCATGGGCCTGGGTGGTCGGTAAGAACTACCCAAAAATCTTCCCCCGCTTCTCCTCCCTTCTCCTTGGTGACCTGGTTCTTCTCCCAGTACCAAATCCCGGCCTTCAGCACAAAGAGGGTTAGGCGGCTGCCCCAGGAGGCCTGGCCAGGTCACGGCCTCTGCCTGGTGCCTGCCACACCCACCCTGGTACCCAAACTGGGCCCCAGATCCTTGGTGACTCGATCCCTCCAAATTCAGGTGATCTCCCCTGGCTCCAAATCACCAAACCCTCCCAGGTCCAGCGGCAGACGGAGCCGAGCCCCAACCAGGAAGGGAGTCTGAGCACTGGGACTTCAACGCCACCATCTCCAGGACTCTTTTTGGGGTGACAGATGGCACTGACTGGGTACAGCTGGCTACTCCTCAGTGGTGAGCGAGAATGGCAACCCCAGCACCTCAGCCCCCCAAGGACCCCAGGGAGGGGAGGGGATCCCGAGTCCGAGAGAGGGAAGGTGTGAGCCCCAGTATGCTAGGGAGGGAGGGCAGCCCTGCTTCACACTGGCACATTCACCCCTCCAAGAGGCACCTGCATGGGGCAGTCTGGGGACAGCCACCCAAAGAGGTTTTTAGGGTGGGTTTTGGAGATTTCTAAGCCCAGGGCACGAGCCAGGACAAGAGAGCCACTGTTGCTCCTCCGTTTATGCGGGTTTCTGTGTTTTATCAGCTATGGAAGCCTTGACGAGGCTGAACTCTTCCCAGCAGCTATTTCTCCCAGAAGATGTCTTGGGGCAGTTGCTTCTCCCTTCTCAGCCTCCATGTACCTATCTATGAAATGGGCCTCACTGACAGGGTTGTGTGAAGGTCACTATCAGCAGCACTGGTTCCCATATCTGCTGTGTGCCTAGAGCTGTTCTGAGAGCTTCTCATATGTTTAAAACCACCTATGAGGGGCCAGGCATGGTGGTTCACGCCAGTAGTCCCAGCACTTCGGGAGGCTGAGGCAGGCAGATCACCTGAGGTCAGAAGTTCGAGACCAGCCTGGCCAACATGGTGGAACCCCATCTCTACTAAAATACAAAAATGAGCCAGGCGTGGTGGCACAAGCCTGGTAGTCCCAGCTACTCGAGAGGCTGAGGCAGGAGAATTTATTGAACCTGGGAGGTAGAGGTTGCAGTGAGCCAAGATTGCACTACTGCACTCTAGCCTGGGCAACAGAGAAAGAATCCGTCTCACACACACACAAAAAAAACCAAGCCACATATGAGGGAGGACCACACATGAGCCCCACTTCCCAGGGAGAAAATGAGGCTCAGAAAGGTGAAATCACTGGCCGCTGTCACACAGCCAGAAAGTGGCAGGACTCAGGGCTAGACCAGGAGTCCCTCGCTCCTAGCCATGCTCTAACAGCCTGGAAAGTACTGGAAAGCTGGCCAGGCGTGTGAGCACTGCCACAGCCACCGGTTCCAGGGAACTGCACGCCATTCAAACCCAAGCAGCCTGATCAGCTCATCGGGCTTGGGGCTGATCTGCTTGGTTGAGAAGGAAAGGCATGGAGTGTTTTCATCTTACCCTTGCTTTCTGCCATAGGCGAGCTTGGAGAGGCCGAGGAAGAGCCCCAGACTGGGAGCCAGGACTCAGGGACAGGCCCTGACGTCCTACATGGGGCCATGCAATTATCTGGGCTGGAAATGCAGCCAGATCTCCTGAGACTTGGTTTGGTGACTGTCACTATGGGAAAACCCCTTGGGTCCGGCTTAAAGCCATGGTCCTATGGACTGAGCACTTGCTTTGTACTTGCTGTATGCAAGACGAGATGCTAGATCCTTGCACACAGTTCATCAAACCCAGTCCTCACCACACACCCCTCCCTGGGACTGAGCCCTAACTAACATGTATTGGGCACTTACTGCATGCCAGGCATTCTAAACATGTTATGTGTACAGAGTCCTTACAACCTTACGAGGCAGGTAGACCTGTCATCCCCACGTAAGAGTTGAAAGAACAGAGACACAGAGAAAGGCAGTGTACTCAAAGCCATTCAGATAAACTCCCAGAAAGATTAGGTGGCTAAGATGTGGAGAGTCAGAGAGTCAGGGGTTCAAATCCTGTCTGTGCCTGTCCTCATTTACACAGAGGACATTGAGCTGGGGACGTGCCCTGGGCCTGAGTCTCTTCTGATCAAACCTGCCTCATCCAACCCCTCTGACTCCTCTTCCTCAGCCACATTCCTGAGTGTGCGGGCCGAGATCTCTATCACCCTGGAGCCTGCCCAGCCGACCGAAGGGGACAACGTCACGCTGGTCGTCCACGGGCTTTCCGGGGAACTGCTCGCCTACAACTGGTATGCAGGGCCCACGCTCAGCGTGTCGTACCTGCTGGCCAGCTACATTGTGAGCACAGGCGATGCGACACCTGGCCCCGTCTACACGGGGCGGGAGGCTGTGCGCCCCGACGGCAGCCTGGACATCCAGGGCGTCCTGCCCGGGCACTCAGGCACCTACATCCTGCAGACCTTCAACAGGCAGTTTCAGACCGAGGTGGGCTACGGACACGTGCAGGTCTATGGTGAGACACCCCCCAAAGCACCCCTGTGCCCAGCCAGGCCTTCCCACCTCCTTCTCAATCCTTCTTAAAAAAAAAAAAAAAATCCAAAAAATGTTTAAACCGTCAGGGAAAAGGGTTATAAAATACCATCAAAATGATCACCCCCTTCAGGAAGGCCGCCAGGATTAGACCTGCCTCCTAAACCATTCTTTGTCCCTCCGGCTGAGGGTATAGGGGCACAGCCACAACCCAGCTATGCCCTTGTCTGGGGAAGGGAAGGCCCTTGGAGCAGGCAGTGCCCGGCCCCCTCCCCCTCTGTCTCTCGCTTCCACAGAGATCTTGGCCCAGCCCACAGTCCTGGCCAACAGCACAGCACTGGTGGAACGTCGAGACACCCTGCGTTTGACATGCAGCAGCCCTAGCCCCACCGCCGAGGTCCGCTGGTTCTTCAACGGTGGAGCCCTGCCTGTCGCTCTCCGCCTGGGACTGTCCCCCGATGGGAGGACGATCAGCAGGCATGGCATCCGCCGGGAGGAGGCCGGCGCCTATCAGTGTGAGGTGTGGAACGCGGTCAGTGTCAGCCGCAGCAAGCCCATCAACCTGACGGTGTACTGTGAGTCCTCCTGGCCCCACCAGAGATGCCCAGTGTCCAAACCTCATCATGGGGAAACCGAGGCCAGGAGAGGGGGCCCAAGGGCACACAGCGAGTCAGCAGGCAAGCTGGGGTTGGGGACCAGGGGTCCCTCTTAAAGTGCTCTGGCCCTGGCCAGGTGCAGTGGCTCACGCCTGTAAATCCCAGCACTCTGGGCAGCCAAGGCAGGAGGATCATTTGAACCCAGAAGTTTGAGACCACTCTGGGCAACAAAGCAAGACCCCATCTCTACCAAAAATATAAAAATTAGCCGGGAATAGTGGCGCGTGCCTGTAGTCACAGCCACTCAGGAGGCTGAGATGGGAGGATTCTTTGAGCCTGGGAGGTTAAGGCTGCAGGTACAGTGAGCTATGATTGCACCACTGCACTCCAGCCTGGGCAACAGAGCGAGATGCTGTCCCGAAATAATAATAATACACTTGCCCCATATCCTAAAGGACTTCTACAGACCACCTTTGCTATTGAATAATCCTTCAGTTAGGAGCAAGACCTGCCGAGAAAGAAAACAGGACCAGCTGGTTTGAAAAAGGAGCAAGGGAGGGAATAGTGTAATGGGAGGGAACATGAAATGTAAACATATAACCAAAGCATGCAGTCATTCCCAGGGGCAGCAGTGTGCAGTGTGGAATCCTGGGATGAGGACCCATGATATAGAAAAACTTAGTGCCTGGAATCATAGACTCCTACAACCAGAGAATTCTGGACTTCAGAAGCACTGAATTCCAGACTCTGAGAATCCTAGAACCTCTAGATGCAGAGATTCTTAGAATCTTAGAATCTAGTCATGAAATCTTAGAGTGTAGAATCTTAGAAACATAGATTTCTAGAATCTTAGCAACTTAGAACCTAGAAGCACCAATTCTTGAAGCCCTAAAATTCTACACTCAGAATGGCTTTGTCAGAAAAAGAAAATCATTTAGGCTTTTTAAAATTTGTTAATGGAGCCATAGATTTCAGAAATATCTTGAAATGTTATCTGGCCCAACACATTCTTTTTACAGAAGAGAAAGCTGAGATCCTCTGAGAGGGAGTGATTCTCGAGATCCTTGAGCAAGTTAGAGTTAAGGCCAGGAGTCAAGGCCAGAGCTTTTTTTCCCCTCCTCTAGGTCAAGATATTCCCAGGGACCTAGCCTGGTGGAGAGAAAGCCAGGGGTACCCACCTCCACTCCCCTTTCCTTCTACTGCCCCATGTCTCTCCCTCCTACGCCCACAGTTGGCCCAGAACGTGTGGCCATCCTCCAGGATTCCACCACCCGCACAGGCTGCACCATCAAAGTTGACTTCAACACGTCCCTCACCCTGTGGTGCGTGTCCAGGTCCTGCCCAGAGCCCGAGTATGTGTGGGCCTTCAACGGGCAGGCCCTAAGGAACGGCCAAGACCACCTCAACATCAGCAGCATGACCGCTGCCCAGGAGGGGACGTACACATGTATTGTGAAGAACACCAAGACTCTGCTCTCTGGATCTGCCTCAGTGGTGGTCAAGCTCTCCGGTGAGTCACCCCCAGCCTGGCCACCCTGCAGTCCCCACAGAGGCCTCATCAGGCTGTGAAGGTTAGGCCGCCATTTGCCCAACGGAGAACTGGCACATGGTAGATTCACGGTTGATTCGTGAGCTGGGACAGATTGGCATAGCAGGCGGATCCCTTTGCATCTGGGTCTAAAGGGAGACCATACAGCCCATGTCCTGTTGACCTGGAGAACAAATGGCAAAGCACTGTGGGTTGACAGAGTGGAAAACCACTCAGATGTCACTTCAGGTGGGTGCCACTGTTCTAAATTCTGTCACCAGCTGCTTAGGGCCTTGATCCACCCCCATGCCACAAAGACAGCTGAAATTCTGTGCAGCCAACTAGACTGCCCAGCTATCTGACCCAGATGATGGGCGCACACACACACAACTGGAGAATCGCAGCCAGTTGCTGGCAAATGGAGAAACAGCTGGGGAGGCATTGTCACCTGTCTTCTGCCCTAAAATGACCCGAGGGCTGGGGCAGTGCAGGCAGCTGGCATTTCAGAGCCATTGGGATCCTCAGGCGACATTTTCTCATCTTCAGGGGAATGGTGGCTTTGAACATTAAGGCCTCATTAATTCCACCTCGGTTCCTTCCCAAGTGGCCATCATCCCCGGGGGACAGTGGGGAATGGTCCTTCCCTCCCTCCCACTAACAGGCTGGGTCTCATCCAAGGGGTGGATTTTCACCCAAAGCAGAAATGGCATCCCCAGAGGTAAGTGTGCCTTCCGCCCCACTCACCTGGGGCTTTGGCAGCTGGTCTTGACAGGAGACAGGGGGATGGACCAGATGACCTCAGGCGCTACCCCAAGCCCTGCCTGTGCAGGCCAACATGGGGGGTGTCCAAGGTATGCAGGTATGTGCAGGGAGTGGATACAGTGACCCCAGGGCTTCTAGTACTATCAGCAACTCTGTGGTAGGTGCTGGGAGAGAGACAGAAGAAAAGGAGACACCACCCTCCCTCCGCCTTGGGAGACTAATCTGATGGAGGAGACATGGCCTCTGTTCTTGGAGAGCTGATCCTGGGAAACATGGCTCCCTTATTCAAGGACTTCCTGGTCAAAGAGAAGAGGCAATGCCTCATCCTCCATGAGCTTCCAATCAGTAATGATTAGAGATGGCAACCTACCCTCAGTGAGCTCCTAGTCAGATGGAGGAGACACAGTCTGCACTTGGGGAGAATTTTCCTTCTGATGGGGAGACTTTGTCTCCAGGAGACATGGCCCTGTTTTTTGAGCATTCCTAGTCTGATGGGGTACCCACCTTTTGGGTACTCCTAATCTGATGGAGGAGTACAGGCCCCCACTTTCTAGGAATTTCCAGTCTGATGGAATAGGCATTTCCCTCTAACTTCTAGGGTCCCCAACTTGAATGGAAAAACTCAGCAACAATTTAGAATTTCTCAATCTGATGGAGGAAACAAGGCTGCCACCTCATAGGAATTTCCAATCTGATGGAGGAGACATGGCCTCCGACCTTCTAGAATCTTTCAATCTGATGGGGGAGCTATAGCTTACACATTATGGGATATCTCGGTGACACAGATACAAGTCCCAACCATCTCATGGGGAAGACATGGTCCCCATTTTCTGGAATTTCCTCTCTGATAGGGGAGACATGGCCCCTATGTTTTGGGAATTTCCAATCTGATGGAGGAGACATGACCCAACCCTTCAGGGTCTTCCAGTTTAATGGGAAGACACCTCTCAAAGGCTGGGGATTTGTAGTCTGATAGGGGAGACACAGACCCCTAGCAGACACTATTCGGACCCAGAATCCACCCCCACCACCACACAAGTCACCTCCTTCCTCAGTCTCCTTCCCAGCACCCCACATGGGGAGTGCCAGCCAGCTGGGGGGAAGCCAGCCAGGGATGGGAGGGGGACACCATGCCAGATGCAGGCCAAGCTGACCCACCCCTCTCACTCTTTCCCCAGCTGCAGCAGTTGCCATGATGATCGTGCCCGTGCCCACCAAGCCGATGGAGGGCCAGGACGTGACGCTGACCGTGCAGGGCTACCCCAAGGACCTGCTGGTCTATGCCTGGTACCGCGGGCCTGTCTCTGAGCCCAACCGGCTGCTCAGCCAGCTGCCTTCAGGGACCTGGATTGCAGGCCCCGCACACACAGGCCGGGAGGTGGGCTTCCCCAACTGCTCGCTGTTGGTGCAGAAGCTGAACCTCACAGACGCTGGCCGCTACACACTCAAGACCGTCACGCTGCAGGGCAAGACTGAGACACTGGATGTGGAGCTGCAGGTGACCCGTGAGTATGCAGGAAGGGGAAAGGCATGTCCCTTGTTAGATGGGGGGTGGGGGTTTCCAAAAGGAGTCTGCTTCCTACATCAAGCTGGGAGACATAGACCAAAGATGGATATGCCTCCCCCATCAGACTGAAGGAAGCCTTGTCTCCTCCATCTGACTTGGGGGGTCCCCAAATAGGGCTCTGCTTCTTCTATCAAACTAATGACCTACACTGTGGGTAGACAGGCCTCTTCCATCAGACTAGGGGTTGCCAAAGGGGACCCCTCCATGCCTTCTCTCTCGAATAAGAGGTACAGCAGACTAAAGGTTTTAAAAGAGAAGGCATAGTCTGATGGCAGAGCCTCCTTTTTCCTGCAGTCAGGTAGACACTAAAACATAGGAGATATTACCTCTTTCACCATATTGGGGAAATGGGTTAATGAAGGAAGTTTACCTCTCCTATCAGACTGCAGGCATAGAGTAAGGATGAATCAGACCTTCTATTCAGACTGGAAGATCCTGCGCAAAAGGGATCATGTCTCCTCCTTTGTATTATTGCGAGGGCAAAGTTCCTACCATCAGATGGTGGAGTTTCTCTTTCAAACTGAAATAAGGATGGTCTGCTCCATTAGGATGGAGGCTTCTAGGTGTGGAAGTTGTGTCTCCTCCATCAGATAGGGAGTTCCCAGATGTTGGGGACCATGTCTCCCCATCAGACTGGGAGCTCCAGGAGTGAGGGTCTATGTCTCCTCCATCAGACTGGAATCTCCTAGAATCAGGGTCCATGTCTCCCCCATCAGACTGGGAGCTCCTGGAGTCAGGGTCCCTGTCTCCTCCATGAGACTGGGAGCTCCCAGAGGCAGGGACCATGTCTCCTCCATCAGACTGGGAGCTCCTAGAATCAGGGACCATGTCTCCTCCATCAGACTGGAATCTCCTAGAATCAGGGACCATGTCTCCTCCATCAGACTGGGAACTCTTAGTCAGGGTCCCTGTCTCCTCCATCAGACTGGGAGCTCCCAGAGTCAGGGTCCCTGTCTCCTCCATCAGACTGGGAGCTCCCAGACTCAGGGACCATGTCTCCTCCATCAGACTGGGAACTCTTAGTCAGGGTCCCTGTCTCCTCCATCAGACTGGGAGCTCCCAGACTCAGGGACCATGTCTCCTCCATCAGACTGGGAGTTCCCAGAGTCAGGATCCATGTCTCTTCCATCAGACTGGGAGCTCCCAGAGTCAGAGACCATGTCTCCTCCATCAGACTAGGAGCTCTGAGTCAGGGTCCATGTCTCCTCCATCAGACTGGGAGCTCTGAGTCAGGGTCCATGTCTCCTCCATCAGACTGGGAGCTCTGAGTCAGGGTCCATGTCTCCTCCATCAGACTGGGAGCTCCCAGGGTCAGGGACCATGTCTCCTCCATCAGACCGGGAGCTCCCAGACTCAGGGACCATGTCGCCTCCATCAGACCGGGAGCTCCCAGACTCAGGGACCATGTCTCCTCCATCAGACTGAGCATCCCCAGGGATTTGTGAGTCCATGTTTCTATAGCAGAGCCAGGTTTCCCCCATTAGCTCTCAGACACTTGCGGATGAGATCCTTCCCCAAGTCTGGCATCAGACTGAGCACTCTCACTCTGAAGCCAAGTCCCTGAGTCCAGGATGGTGCCTCCTCTGTCACTGGAAACTTCCAGGATCAAGGACTCAGCCACTGCCAGACACCCACTTTCATCCATTCACTGATGAAACCGTGGTTTCCTGGATGAGTGTTAGGGGAGAATGCTGTTCAGTGGCAGCAGGCCGCCCGACAAAGCCTGGGATTCCTTTTCACCCATTCTCTCTTCTCACAGTCAACCTCCCTCCCTCGCACAAGGACCAACGCTACCTTCCTGAACCTGAACCTGGCACAGGATGAGCGTGGGGCGGAACCGGCCACTGGGTGGCCTGGCCTGGGCAGGGGAGCAGAAGGGGTGGGGGCACTGGGGACCTGGTCCTCCACCTCCCTGATGGCCTCCTTTGCCCCCTCTCCCCATCTGCCCCCACAGCCCTGGGGTAGCAGCGTGACCCTGGAGACGTCCAGAGAGATCTCTTCACGTCATCCTCTCGTCCTCGCCCCCTGAGTGGGGACCCCTCCCTGCCAGTGAGGATGCCGGGTTGTGGTCCTGCTGTTCTCCTGCTTCCACCCTAGAACTAGAGCCACGGGGCCCCACTCCCTCGCTGAGCTTTTGGGGAGCCACCAAGTCCATAAACGTCCTGGTTAATGCACACGTGTGTCAGCCTCTCCTTCCACCACTGCTAGCCCCCTCCATTTCCCGGTTGCCACACTCACTTCCTTTCCTGCTTAAGACTTTTCTCAGTCTGGGTGTGCAGGTGCAGGAGGATGAGCCCAGATCACCGTGCCCCACACCCTACTGCTGGATGGCAGGGCCTTGGGCCCCTCCCACAGCACCCCAGGTTAGGCCCCTCCCACAGTGCCTCAGGTTATATGTGAGAGTCCTGCTCCCAACTGGCCAAGGACTTCCCCTCTTGGGGCACCAGCATTCTGTGCGACATGGCCCTCTGTGGGACTACACTGCACCTCACTTTGTCACCTGGACCCCAAAACAGGGCTGCCTGTGCTCGGGAAATGACCATATTTCTCAAGAAGACTTTCATCACCTTCTGGCAGTCCTCACCCATTTAATCAAAGACACACCTTTGTGTCTTCCATTGTCCTGGGATTACCTGGATGTCCCTCAAACATGACCTTCACATCCCTGAAAATATCTCCATCCTTCTCTAGCCACAGAAAAGGCCCTGTGGATGGATGAATGCAAGCAGGGCAAGGATCGAGGCGAGGAGTGCAGAGCTGGGAAGTGGGGGCCAGAATGAGGATGTTTTCTAACTCTTCTCATTAGTGGGAGCCACAGGCCCCACCCAGCCGCAATGCCCCACTGGAGAGAGGCTGTTGGCATTGGCGTGGAGTGGTGATGGCAGAGACCAGGCTTAGAACGGAAAGACAAGCTAGGGCAAGGAAGAGAAAGGGCCTTTTGGGGATGATTGTGTTGAGTTGGGGTGACTGGTTGTCAAAGACCTCCAAAATGGGGGTTATAAAATCCGGATCATAGGCCAGGCACGGTGGCTCCTGCCTGTAATCCCAACACTTTGGGAAGCTGAGCCAGGTGCCTAAGGACAGGAGTTCAAGACCAGTCTGATCAACATGGTGAAACTCCGTCTCTACTAAAAATACAAAAACTAGCTGGGCGTGGTGGCGGGCGCCTTTAATCCCAGCTACTCGGGAGGCTGAGGCAGGAGAATCGCTTGAACCCAGGAGGCGGAGGTTGCAGTGAGCCGAGATCGCACCACTGCACTCCAGCCTGGGCACAGGCGTGAAACCCTGTCTCAAAAAAAAAAAAATAAATAAAATCTGGATCATAATCCTGCATTTGCCATGGATTCACTAGAGCCTCAGTTTGCCCATCAGTAAAAAGGTGTGGACTTCAAGTAGGCCAGACTTTTCCAAACCATTTTTAAAAGCCACAGAGCCCTGTCTTCAAATGCAGGTTTACACGACAGGCCAATTTATTATTAATTTTAAAATAGCAATGCGACAAATATAGGCCCAGAACTGTGGTCCACACCTGTAATCCCAGCACTTTAAGAGGCTAAGGTGAGAGAATCGCTTGAGCCCAAAAGTTTGAGATCAGCCTGGGCAACATGGCAAAACTCTATCTCTATTTTTAAAAACTAATAAATAAATAAAACCAAATATAGATACCAACTCAATAGCTATACACATCTCCCCCAAAATTCCTACAGACTTGAAAAAAAAAATTCCTTAAATTTAAATAACGCTGGGATTAGCCAGGTGTGGTGGCCTGTACCTATAGATCACTCGAGCTCAGGAGCCGGAAGATCGAGGCTGCGGTGTGGTCACACTCCTTCCTGCACTCCAGCTAGATGTGCAGAGAGCAGCTTATACGGATAGCATTCTTTTTCTCATGCATAAAAAATCTCCAGAAGCAGATCGTTCAGGGCTGGAATGGAGGCCCTGCAGTGTCATCAGGGACATAGCTCTTTCTGTTTTTCTGTCCCATTAGCCTTAGCTTGGGTCTTCTGTCCTCCCCATCACCTCATGGCCCAAGATGGCTGCTGACGTTACAGCTGCCTTATCCATGTTCCAGGCAAGAGGCAGAAAGAAGGGGAAAAAGGGCAACAGCAACAACAAAAAGTTCCCCCTTGCCAGTTTATGGACTGTGCCCCTCTTAAGGGAATTTTACCTAAGGACCATCCAACAACTCCTGTTTAGATTGGCCCAAGAGTCACATGGCCACCGTAGCTGCAAAGGAGGCAGCGAATTGCAGTCCTTGCCTTGGGTATGTTGCTGCCCTAATCAACATCAAGGTGTTTGTCTTAAGAAAGGCAGAGAGAATGGATCTCTGCTGGGCAGCTGGCCGCTCCAAGCCTTGGAAGTTCTACCTCCTCAGCCAGGCAAAATGGCCTTTCTCACCTGAGCCCAAGGAGTAAGAGTCATAGCCCCAGCAGCAGGGCTTTGGGAAATATGGGAGCTGCTGGTCCGAGCTGCGATTGTGTGCAGCTGAAGCAGAATGAGGCCAGCAGGAGGGGCAGAGGGAGGGAAGGAGAAGCAGCTCAGGTTTCTAGGTCGAGCCAGATCCCATGGCCTCAGGGTGTGGTGGAGGCTCAAAGACCAGGTCCTCCGTCCCTCTGGGCATCTCTGTGCTCTTTTGCTGAAACCTCGCACATAGTACAATCCCCTTCTTTAAGAGTCTAGGAAAGAATAATAACAATAACCACAAAATAATGATCACTCCTATATCTTGAGCATCGGTGTATTAGTCCATTCTCACATTGCTATAAAGACATACCTGAAGGCCGGGCACAGTGGCTCACATCTGTAATCCCAGCACTTTGGGAGGCCAAGATGGGTGGATCACCTGAGGTCAGGAGTTCGAAACCAGCCTGGCCAATATGGTGACACCTCATCTCTATAAAAAAATAAATAAATTCAAAAAGACACACCTGAGACTCCATAACTTGCAAAGAAAAGAGGTTTAATCAGCTCAAGATTCTGTGGGCTACACAGGCTTCTCCTGGGGAGACCTCGGGAAACTTACAGTCATGGCAAAAGGTGAAAGGGAAGCAAGCACGTCTTCACATGGCCAGCAGGAGAGGAAGGTGAGGTGCTACACAGTTTTAAACAAGCAGTACTAGGCGGATGGTGCTAAAACACTGAAAACTGCCCCCATGATCCAGTCACTTCCCATGAGGCCCCTCCTCCTACACTGAGGATAATAACTCAGGATCGTGAGATTTGGGTGGGGACACAGAGCTAAAGCCTATCAGTTGGTTTGGTCCTTTTTCATGCAAGAGCTCAATGAATTTCCACAGCAGCTCTTAAGAGAAGTTATCATCATTCCCCTAACTTATAGGTGAGGAAACTGAGGCAGAGACTTGAAAACCTTGCCCCAGGTCGCATAGTTCCCATGGCTCCTGGGTGGAGGTGCTGGCTAGGGAGTCCTCCCCATTCTTCAGCAGGGGAGGGGGTTTCAGGGCACAGCTCTGAGGTCAAACAGAACTGAATTGGCCTCTTTTAGCTGTGGGAACTTGGGTACATTGCTTGCTTTTCCTCCTTGTAAAATGGAGAGGATAATACTGCCCCTGCCTCCTACAATTATTGGAAAGATTATATTAGTTAATACAAGTAAAGAGTCGGGCACATGCGTGCTCAATAAACACTTATGATCCAGACTCAGATGTTAGCTTTTAGCAACAGGCAGATGGAAAAAGCAAAGGTAACTCTTTTCTTTCTTTCTTTTTTCTTTTTTTACGGATAGGGTTTTACTATTATCCAGGCTGGATTACAGTGGCGAAATCATGGCTCACTGCAGCCTCCCAAGCAGCTGGGACTATAGGCATGAGCCGCCATGCCCGGCAATTTTTTAATTTTTTGTAGAGTCAGGGTCTTTGCTGTATTGCCAGGCTGGTCTCAAACTCCTGGGTTCAAGCAGT